CATGAGGCTAATCATGAAGAAACAATTGGAGCAATCCAAACTTAGGCATATTCTACAAAACTAGCCTTTCCTCCTTAAAAATATTAATCTTTCAAAGTAGAGCGAGTGAGCTATGCCAACCACATGCGATATGCGATCCTGTGTGGGCTGGCCTCGATCAGGAGTGAAAGTTAGGCTAGGTGACATTATGACATCACAGGCATATGTCAGAGAGAGTGCACGCATGTTCACTTCCAGACCAGATCACTCACACAGTATCACAATAAAGCAAGTCCCTTGAATGGTTTGGTTTCTGGTGCATATGAATGTTACATTTACACCACACTGTAGCCCGTTATGGAGAGGTTTGACATATTGTGAGAATTACTGAAATGTGGTACAGAGACTAAACATGAGCACATGCTGTTGGAAAACACGTGGCGGACTTGCTTCACACAGGGCGCCACTAACCTGCACAGCAGCAGCCACGGCCCTGTGGGTGCCATCAAGCGCAGCAGCATAGAATGAGGTGTGCCCGGGTTGGGGCCATTGGGCAATTTGTATGTGGATTGTATGTTATCATTAGCGTTGTTTCATTGTGATCATCTCAGCAGGTGGTTACAGTGTGGTTTTATAAGCGGAACTAAAAAAGTTTGTGGGGAAGTTCTATTAGCTTTTAAATTCCATTTTAAAAATGGACACAGCAACATTTGTCTTAAACAGAACAAAAACAAGACGAAGGCAAAATCATTTGGTTGGGGGAGCCCATCGCAAGAGGCCACAATGGTGTCCAACAATTCACAGAAACCCAGCCACTTAATTGGAATAGCCTTCCAAGGCGTAAGAGGAAGTCCTTGTTCTTAGAAAATACAGCCCGAAGCACAGTATCTAGGGATGAAGCTTCATCGTCTTTCTAAATTCTTCTCAATGGACTCAAAAAGAGACACACACAGATGAAAAGGAAATTTGTCAAAATGCTAACTGGTGAATGGATGGCTGTTGGAGACCACCAGCCGCTCTGGGGCTCCCAGCCCCTGAGGCAATCCCAATTCATGGCAGCCCAGTGGGCAGAGCAGACTGCCCGTGTGGGTTTCCAAGACGGAACTCTTTCCAGGAGTAGAGACCCTCTCTTTCTCCCACAGAGCAGCTGGTGGCTGTGTGTGGTGAGCAGCCCCAACTCCTGGACAGACGCGAGCTTGTGGAGCCGCTCTGCCCTGTCCAATAGGGTCGCTATGAGTCATACCCAGTTGACACACAGCTACAAGGGCAATTACACATCTTTTAAAGCGTAGCTGAATTCTGCTTGTTTTTAACGTAAGGTACACAAACGTTAGTGTTACTAGTTTACATTGCTCTCTAATCTTATCATTTTCAGCGCCAGATTTTTATATTATTGCTGGTTATCTCATGAGATTGTAAACTACCTGTTCACTCTTTATTTATTTATTTATTTTAAATTATTTCGAAAACAGTTTAGCCCTTCCCTAAACAGATGCCAACAGAAAGCCTTGTGATCCCGCAGTCTCTCTGCTTGGTCTAAACCTGGCCCTAGAGGAATGAAGAACACAGAACGAATGGACAGAGACACGCCCATGCCAATCACAGTGATTTCCATAGCAACCAAGAGATGGGAACAATCAAAAACCCCACCTGTGGAGGAGTGGACAAACAGATGGAATATTACGCATCCCCGAACAACCGGGAGTCCGTCACCCCCTCGTGAGATTGAGAGAGCTGGGGAACAGATGCTCAGCCAAGCTGGTCAGTCTCATCAAGATGAGTGTTTCAGGGTACCATTCTCCTCAAGAAAGCAGTTTTCACACTGAAGGAGAGATGGGAGTTAGGGACCGAGGGTGGGAGGGAAAAGGGGGGAAACCAAGAGGAGGAGGAAGAGGAGGAGGAGGAGGAGGACACCTCCTGGGACCCCCGTCACTGTTGGATCCGTGGGCTGTGCGACTACATCTAGTTTGCTTCTCTCTGTGTGTGCTCTACCTCACGAGTGAGAGGGGAAAATAGAAAATGAAGACAATTAAGTTGCTGTTTTTTAAGAGGAGAGAAGAGCCACATTCTTAAAAACCCTCCAGAGGCTGGACCCCACCCTGGCCCCCCGAGCGGGTAGAGAAAAAAAAGAAAAGTAAAATTCACTTAAATCCTTTAGGGTTTCCCAGGCTAGTTTCCAACAACCGAAGTCCCGTTTGCACATCCACCAGTGAGCCTTGGCCAGGCAGGCTCCTTATTCCACAGCTCCTTCCCATTCCAAAGCTTGACTTTTCCCCAATGCTTTCTTCAGAAGGGATTTTCACGGCTTCAATGAAAACTACAAACTTCAGACTTCCTACTTCTACTGAATCAGCACTGCCACGTACCCAGGTGGTCACCATTTTCGGGCTTGTTGACCTATACGTAAAGGTGTCTTCGTGTAGTTGAAATAAACGTTAAAGTATCGGCTTTTCTTTTTCCGGTCTTCTTTGTCCCTTCTCCCTCCTCTCCTCCAGGGGATTGTCTCCTTTATTAGCCTTTGCTAGGAACCCACTTTTATCTCTCTCTGACCCTGGTTCATGGACCTTTGCCGTCACTCCTGTGGCCGTGTGCCATCTGTACTTTTTGTGGGGCTTCCTTGCCGGGCGCTATGCCACCAGCATTTCCAATGCCAGAGGGGTCACCCATGGCGGACGGGTTTGGGTGGAGCCTCCAGATTCAGACAGACTAAGAAGAAAGGACATGCTGATCCACTTCTTTAAAAGAAAGAAAAAGAGCCGGTGGAAACCTTAACCTTAGCAGTGGGACCTTCTTTGAAACCGTGCCAGAAGCTGCGCTCAGAAGACAAGGCCGGGAGAGCGGCCCCTCAAGGCAGAGCCGGCTTTAATGGGGTGAAGACGAAGTCAAGCTTTGGGGATCCCCGTTTGCTCAGGCGGCATCATTCAACGGGAGAAGACACCGGGGCAAGCATCCGTTCGTGATGGGAGCATGGAATGTACGGGGTGGGAGTCTAGGAAAACCGGAAGTTGTCAAAGAGGAGAGGGAGCAGTTGGCGACTGAGCCCTACACGGAGCTGCCAGGAACTGGTACTGGCCACGCGGAGGTGGGCACACAGGTGGTCTCCCAGGCCGGCAATGTCGAGTGGAAGAGCACCCGGGTCACGGGCTGTCCTATTGCCCACGTGGAAAATCAGGTACACGGCGTTTGGACATGTCATTAGAAGGGACCTTTCCCTGCAGAAGGACGTGCTGCTGGAGAAAGCAGAGGATGGGAGAGATAAGGAAGACCCTCAAGAAGTTGGTTGACAGGGGCTGCAATCCCAGTGGTCAGCCGTAGCCACAGGGGGAGGGCGGGTTTCGGTCTGGGGCACACAGAGCCACCGAGGGTTGGAGCCCACCTACCGGTACACAGCCACCACCTTGGCTTAAAGAGCAAAGACCCAAGACCACGGAGCTGGGCGGAGCGGTGGCACAGAGCCGTCACGCGCAGGAACGATGGGACGGCGTCTCACGGCAACAACACAGCCGAACGGCCGTCTGCATGCTTTCCTCGGTTTCTGCTAGTATGTCCTTCCTCATGTTCCCTTCCTCAGACGTTCTTTGGATTGACTGTTCTTCCAACGTCAGGAGTTGGGTGTTTAGGCCGTTTTCACCCTTCCCCTTTTCTAACGGAAGCATCCCGTGTTTTTGTACAGATAACATGTGTGTTGTGTTTTATGCCCACGGAGACCTACCTGCTCCCCAGGAGATATTTTCATAAGCTCAAGATCGATCGATCTACACACGTATTACATATATTGAACATGCACACACATGTACAGCAACATTTAACAAGATCGTTATTGCATAAAAATGCAGGCCTTCAAAGCACCACTTTGCCTGCATTCCGGAGGTTTGACTATGCATTTTCATATCGTTCAGTTCCAGGCCGTTGTTTTTTTTTTTAATTTGTTTATTTTTATTTTTTATTAAAAAAATTTTTTTCCAGGCCGTTTTAAAATGTTCACTTTCCTTTCTTTTTGGACCTTAAGTGATTCAGAAATGTGCCTCCGAATTTCCAAATGAATGGGGATCTAAAATGTTACCTGGGGTTGCCGATTTCTAAGTCAACTGCACTGCGCCATCCAAGACGCGGGTCTCAGGGACTCCAGGTCCCCTTTATAGCTTTAATTTCTGAAACCCTCGTGGGGCCTTGGCCTGGTCTCTGGCTGTTTCAGCTGATCCTTAAGGAGACTTCTGTGCCGGGTGACTTCCGATGGTGAGCTCTGACTTTTCTGACTGGCATCTGTGGGGTCCTGCCCGGGGAGGGGGACGGGGGGGCTGTTTCTGGGACTGCCAGCGCCACCACTGGCCTGGCATCGTTCTCAGTCCTGTGGGGGTCTGGCTCGGGGCAGACACACTGGCTCAACAACCTGAGCTTGCTATCCTGAAAAGATCTCCTCCATTCAACTAAACGAAATCACTTTTTTTTAAGGGGAAGGGAGGCTCAAAACACAAAACAAAACAGGTGAGTAGGAGCAATTTCGCGTGACCCAACCTACACCCTCAGCCTCGGAGCCCTCGGGGCAGGCCTGTTCTTCCTGTTTGCTGTTTGCTCACTCTGAGCTGGGCCTTGGCTCCACACTAGCTTCCTTTTGGGGGAGGAAGGTGGCTTTGGTAATTTCTCCGATTTCTTTGGAGCCTAGCGAGCCATTACAAAGCATGTTTTATTGGGGAGGGGCTTGTTTTGCAGTGGGGTGCTGCTTCTCGGAGACCGAGGCCAGGAGAGACCGAGTTTTCCGAGGAGGATACCAAGACTCGGGGAAGTGGCTCGACTGATCCACAGTCATGCGGTAACGACAGGCGGGGTGAGGACTTGGCCCCCCCCCC